CAGGTCGTCGTGGGGTCGTGATAACCAAGTCCAACTCCCCCAGACATAATTATCAAAGTTATTAAACCATCAGGGAGCTTAATGAGAATAGTTGCACCACAACCTAAGTGATTGCCAATACACTTAGCGTCCAATCCTGCCGGTAACATTGCGAGATTTTAGGTCCCTAAAAGTTTACACTTGAAAATTTTTGTGCATCTCTAACATACAATGTATCTATTGTCGCGTAAACGGCGTCGTCACGTCCTGTGTGTCGGTCTATTGAGGAACGTACCGACGGCGTCCACTTCCCCCATACAATCAATCATAGATATCCCCGTAATAGGATTGCGACGTCCTAACGGTCTCGGCATACTATATAGAATTAATTGGCCGTGCAATTCCAGCGGACGTCCGGCGTCGGATTGCTGCTAGTTGTGTTGAGAAACCAGTCGATGGAACTAAAGCGATGGAATTCAAAGCAAAAATGTTTAATTATCACAATGACAGTGTGAATTGTTGCAACATTCCTAATTAACATTATTAGCTTAATTCATTAATTTTTTTTTATTCATTTTGAATAAAGGATCTATTCTGCTTTGTATATGAAGCGTTACAAGGAACTCCAATCGGTTAAAGACCTACAAAGGGTCGTTGGAATAATTACAGGGCCGAACCGGCAGCCGCGACGAGTTTGAATAAGGCCGGGCAATGATTGATGTCCAGCAGGCGATTCACCACCTGAATTGGCCGTTATTTATCGCCGGCGAGTGATATATTTCCTTCTGGTCCATGAATCGGTGAGGAAATTTCGAATACCCGCCGGGAATTGAATATCAAACCCATTATGGACACTAAGGAGATATGAGGCGGTCATGATGTACTGCTATAGAAACCATAGGAAATTGATTTCAGAATCACATCGAAATTTCAAACTCTTGGGGAATCGATTTCGAATACGGATCGGAACGAATGCACGCGGTCGAGTTCATTAACAAGTGATCGGAGTGACTGGTGCAATTAAGACAATCGCTGGTAGATAATCTGGGAGTGGAGTTGGCCCTGACACCGGACTTCGGTCGGGCTATTTGTCTCGATTACACCACCCCACGTGCTGTATTTGCCTTTGGGATGGTCGGATTGTTTGGCTTCACGTCCCGATTCATCGCGCGGGATCTTGATCCCTACAGGCGTCGCGTCGGCACACAAATTAAACATTTCAATGTCCCGCCACGTCGCCGCTAACCAATTATACAGGACATGACCGTCCTCGGCCGACAGCGTTCCCATTAGGTTGGTACACTGATTGGAATCGTAATCTTTGTACCGGCATTAGTAGTACTCTATAGGTATATGGCTCCCATCATAGCTACAATACGATCTTACCTGGAAATGGTCGTTTCGATTTGCTACATAATCGTTAACAGTAATTGTGCGAGTTAACGCGATGGAAACGGATACTAAACGCTCGCTGTCAGCGACCGGAATCATGTTTGTATTATGCAAAACGACCACGCGGACAAACGGCGCGAATCCGTCGGTAATTATTTAGCGGAACACGTTTCTACTTGACGGCCACCTGCTAGCGCCTGCCCGCCCAGCTGCCCAATGCCCGATATTGCGTTTTTCGAGCCAGAATTGCATTTGCATCGTAATTTATGCGAAACGCTCAAACGGGTTGTGCCACCGGAAAAGGGGTGGGCTAAAAACTAACTCGACCCAATCTGTCTAACCCAATAATTTACTACGGTTCATTTGATGATTTAGATATTTTACCTTACACAGGACATCTATTATCATCCAATACAATCCTATCAAAAAAAAAGGTAATTATCTACTCTTAACAAAAAATATACTAAATAGTTACCTTACAATTTCATTTTGATCAATATGTTTCAATTAATATATTATCTTGCTTTTCCTAGCGCTTCTTCTGAATCAATTAAAGTTTAACTCACCCCGACTACAAAATTTTGGCTTCATATGAAGAATCTTATAAAAATTTGCTCCTTGAATTAACATACTTTATTGTATAGAATCAATTTTGCACACAATAACAAAGAGAATTGAAAATTAAAAACGTTCTAAAACATTTTTTTTTAACTTTTCTTAAAGGAAAGATTGACGAATAAACACCTATGACTCACTAAATCACTACTATAACGCTCCAACATTGGCGTCCTTAATCTTTCCTTGTCCGAGTTACTCCACCTCAATTTTGTACCCCTCTCCATCCAGCCACCACTGTTCTCCTCACCACTCCACTCAATTCTCTATTTACACGTTTTTCCGATCAATATCTCAAGTAAATAAATCAAACTTGATTTTTTTCATTGCAGTCTTGCAAACTGACATCGTCATTAAAAGAATTAATCTTTGTGCCAACAATCATTTTCGAAGGAAATATATAACAACCATACACAAAAACAAACGTTATGGGTAACCCAACCAGAGACCTGCATGAATAGTTTGAATAAAGTTATGAGTTTGTAACGAGGTTGCTTAATTCTAGGCAATCAAGCTTTTGCCTAATTAAACTGAGATAACAGCGATCGTGGTGCTGCAATACCATATCAACCCAAAACTGGTTAATACATGTACAAGCGACCTGGGCTACACTCAAAACAGGACAAATAGGATTTTGCTGATTGGGCAACACTCAGTCTCAAGCAACCTCGATTAAACTTAGGTTGAGAAATGTATAACTTGGACTAATAATAGTAACATTGTATGATAGGCGATGTCAGGCGAAGATGTAGATTTTCAAGGTACAACATTTTATTAGCTTTTTCAAATAGGAATAACATACTTAATATCTTCTCTAATTATCATTACAAGATTAATAGTAAAATGAAAGAAAATGGGGTGTATTCAATCAAATGTTCTAAATGTAAAGGTGTTTATATTGGCCATTCTGGCAGAAAACTAGAAACACGCATCCACGAACACAAAACTAAATCTAATTCTAACGTTTTTAAACATGGCAAAGAAACAGGTCATGAAATTGATTTCGAAAATGTATCACTTTTACGCAAATGCGATAAGGGTTATAAACTTGACCTATTAATCTCTAGGGTGATTAATAAACATAAAATTTGTAACGATAATAATTTACTTAACGATCAAGTTGAAATTCAATATAAACCTTTGTTTATGTATTTGAAACATTTGAATAAACATTTCAAAAGATGTTCAAAACATTTGAATGGACAAATATTTCGGTTTTCCGCCTCCCATTGTGCACGTGTTGAACTTGTTTTAAAGAGAGGTTCTTCATTTATATTGGTCCTTAGCCTTGCCTCTTCTGTTCGCCGACATTGTTCATCTAAGAATTTTATTTTGTAAATTTCGATTTGTTATATGTCTTAATATAAGTTACTTCATTTTGTGACATGTACATATTTATATCAACATCACGCTTATTATAAAGTTTCAACGACTGTAAGTATTTTTTTTTACATTTTTTTAACATTTATTTAACATTTTAACGTGTATGTTTTGTATATTTTTATTTATATTATAGATTCAAACTGATGATGGGGTTGATACCCGAAACTAGTATCTGACTAAATAAATAATTTTTAGCAAATAAAAGAAGTTTTTTTTTAATCATTTTAATTCAAAATATTTAACTTGCGACATGGATAAATGTGAATATTATGATACTAATGAGGTTAAAACTTTGAGAGCTTACCTTTTATTTGGTGAAAAGTTAACTTTTCTCTTTTGGTTTGTCGCTTTATAGTGACCAGTCAAAAGTGGACCATGACTTTATGTAACATATCTTTTTTTTAATTCATAACAATTTCGGATACATAATTTAGCGATCTTCGAGAGCACTAATATAGTATATCTGCAATGGTAGGAAATTCAAACTATGGAATGACTGGAAGTTAAATCTCTCACGATCTTGAAGTCACTACATTTTCAGCTTTTTGACCCAAGGTCTAAAATTGCCCAAAATGATCATAATGTGTCTAAAATTTCCAAAATTTGGTAAAAATTTATAAAATGGGCTAAAATAATTTTAGACATTTCGACATATCTCGACAGTATTACCATTGACTATTTTATACCAGACTGCTAACCGCTACGTAAAAATTGGTAACGCGTAAAGTGTTATTTTTGGATTTGTCCGCTATGGGGGCGCTGGTGGATTTTATAATAATAATGGATATGATTAAGAGATGGCAGCACTATTTTTGATTTATATTCCCCCTCTTATATTTTCTTGTACTAATAATAGAAATTGTTTAGTATTTCTTTTTTAATTAATAAATAAAATTTTATTGTATGAAAACATTATACGTTTTCCGTAAAAACCGGTTGTTTCTACCAGTTTATTTTCATTAAAAAATAATATTAATTTTTAGAGAAATTTTTTCAATACTTTGAACAATTTTAAGAGTTGTTCTATCTGGTTTTAAGTTAAGTACTTGGGGAAATCCCGAGATAACTGACAGGTTGTTTCCACCAGTTTCTACGGAAAAAGTTGGTAAAGGCGGGCTTAACGTCGCAGGCGGAGTTTATTTTAGTTTATTTGCTTTAAATATCTATAATTATTATTTAAAACTAGTTATTAAACCTAAAATTATTGGTCTTTAATTGTAAACAAGCTTTATCTTTTATTAATATTTTGAAATAATATAGTAATTAGACAAGGGGTTAAAAGGCACGGAAACAAAATATATTAAAAGGTCGAGCTTGAGCGGAGAGTAGAGGATTTCCATTAAAGTCCATCCTAAATAAAATATTGAAACATTTATTATAGTACTTGAGGTAGAGGTACTTCAGATAGAGATACTTGAGGTAGTGATAGAGGTACTTGAGATAGAGATAGAGGTACTTGAGGTAGGGGTACTTGGCTAGAGATACTTCAATGAAGTGGCGAACCAGTTCGCGTATCGTGTAGATCTAGCTTTATACAAGCATATGTTGTTTCTTCTAAGAAGAAAACCTTTCGGAAGAAGAACGCATCCCTGGAAGAGCTAGAGGTCGAGCTAGAGAGATAAAGATAAATAAATAAATAAACAAACAAAGATAAAATTATTCTTAATTTTTAAAATGTTATTTTCTTTGAAAAAAGTTAATGTCTTTTTTATGTATGACTCTTTATCCAACTCAACGAGGCCTGCATTTTTGTCTCCCATGGTAACAATACGATTTTCTATTTTAATTTTATGTTTCAGATTTTTAATGATGCGAAGAATTAATTTAGTATGGAAAGATTTTATGTTGACGTTCTTATTCCCACTCGTTTTCCCTCACTCTTTCACCTTTATCATCTGGCGAACGTTCCTTATGACCTTCAGTCCAATTTCATCCCTCATCATGTTGACTCAAGTTATTTAATTTTAAAGGAAATTTTAACGTGTTAATTGTAAGTTTAAAAATTTTCTTTCTTTTTTGATTTCTTATATTTAGTTATTATGGTTCTTTCTCTACAGGTTTGGTAATTTGTTTTGTCGTTAATTTTTAACATTTATTTTTAAACACTTTGAAAAACGAGATTTACGATGAATAGAAAAACGCCATTTTAATTTTTTGGATTTTTCAATTTACTCTTCAAGTTTTTTTACATTTGAATTTTTCGTAAACGGAATCTTTTTGAAGAAATACTCTGAAACAATACTCTCTTCACTCTCGATGCTCCTACACCGACGGTAATTATATATATTTTTTATCTGTGTTTTTGTTATATCTGAATGTTCCTTAGTCCTGCCTGAAGAAGAACGATAATCGTTCGAAATCTTCGAAGATAGCACCGAAATAAAATATTTTCATCGTTTATACGACTTTTAATTTTTTTTAGCAGCAAAAAACCATACAACTTACCTGGAAAAAAACCACCAAATCGATAATAGAGGCATCTCCAATAGGCCCCGAGATCAAGAAAACCTTAATCCCTCGGGAAAAATCAAGCAGGTGCCCCAAACTCTATGGTCTGCCCAAAATCCCCTCCCTCAGGAAGGCTGCTCCGGATCGGGGACGGTGTAGGACCGTTTTCCAAGTGGCTGACAAGTGCAGGGCGTCATCTCTCTTGTTGAAGGTACCGTTCTTCTCTATTTCGATGGACTCGCGGATGAGTCTGGTGCTCCAATGTGGAACGTTGGCTATTTCCATATCTGAAGCTGCTAGTTTTCCATATATACATATACATAGAATAATCATGCAAAATAATTTGATATTAAAATAGTATTATTTAAGTGTTTGCCTAACCTATCCTTTGATATGGACTCCCTCCGCTGATAGAATGAGAGTCATTCGGCTTGCGCATACTACATATCAATCCTATTATTCCACGTGGAAAATAACCATGATGCTCTGATCTCAATGAGAGTTAGTACTTTCATGGAGGCATTGTCGTTAGCGAGGCTTACAAACCCTCCAGCATGCCTATGAAGTGGGTATATTTGCATCATGGTTATTTTCCACGTGGAATAATAGGATTGATATGCTGTATGCCCAAGCCGAATGACTCTCATTCTGTCAGCGGAAGGAGTCGATATCAAAGGATAGGTTCGGCAAACACTTAAATAATACTATTTTAATATTCAATTATTTTGCACGAATTTTCTATTTATATGTACATATGGTACACTGGCTCAAGATATAGAAGTATTCAATATATTTTCCACGAGGAATTATAATAAAAATTGCATATATACGTATAACTAAAATATTCGTGCAAAATAATTTGATATTAAAATACTATTATTTAAGTGTTTGCCTAACCTACCATTTAAATGACTCCACGTATCTACCGACTGGAAGTCTGGCCCCTAGTTAGAAAAAAAATAATTTTGATTAAATTCGCTATAACTAAAGAACGGTTTGACCGATTTCAATGTTCTATATCTCAAACGAAAGCTTGCGTCTGGCTGAATAATTATGTGTAAAGCATATTGAACACTTCCATATCTGAAGCTGCTAGTTTTCCATATGTATATGTAAATAGAATAATCATGCAAAATAATTTGATATTAAAATAGTATTATTTAAGTGTTTGCTTAACCTATCCTTTGATATGGACTCCCCCGCTGATAGAATGAGAGTCATTCAGCTTGCGCATACTACATATCAATCCTATTATTCCACGTGGAAAATAACCATGATGCTCTGATCTCAATGAGAGTTAGTACTTTCATGGAGGCATTGTCGTTAGCGAGGCTTACAAACCCTCCAGCATGCCTATGAAGTGGGTATAGTTGCATCATGGTTATTTTCCACGTGGAATAATAGGATTGATATGCTGTATGCCCAAGCCGAATGACTCTCATTCTGTCAGCGGAAGGAGTCGATATCAAAGGATAGGTTCGGCAAACACTTAAATAATACTATTTTAATATTAAGTTATTTTGCACGAATTTTCTATTTATATGTACATATGGTACACTGGCTCAAGATATAGAATTATTCAATATATTTTCCACGAGGAATTATAATAAAAATTGCATATATACGTATAACTAAAATATTCGTGCAAAATAATTTGATATTAAAATACTATTATTTAAGTGTTTGCCTAACCTACCATTTAAATGACTCCACGTATCTATCGACTGGAAGTCTGGCCCCTAGTTAGAAAAAAAATAATTTTGATTAAATTCGCTATAACTAAAGAACGGTTTGACCGATTTTAATGTTCTATATCTCAAACGAAAGCTTGCGTCTGGCTGAATAATTATGTGTAAAGTATATTGAACACTTCCATATCTGAATCTGCTAGTTTTCCATATGTATATGTAAATAGAATAATCATGCAAAATAATTTGATATTAAAATAGTATTATTTAAGTGTATGCCTAACCTATCCTTTGGTATGGACTCCCTCTGCTGATAGAATGAGAGTGATTCGGCTTGCGCATACTATATATCAATCCTATTATTCCACGTGGAAAATAACCATAATGCTCTGATCTCAATGAGAGGTAGTACTTTAATGGAGGCATTGTCGTTAGCGAGGCTTACAAACCCTCCAGCATGCTTATGAAGTGGGTATAGTTGCATCATGGTTATTTTCCACGTGGAATAATAGGATTGATATGCTGTATGCCCAAGCCGAATGACTCTCATTCTGTCAGCGGAAGGAGTCGATATCAAAGGATAGGTTCGGCAAACACTTAAATAATACTATTTTAATATTAAATAATTTTGCACGAATGTTCTATTCATATGTACATATGGTACACTAGCTCAAGATATGGAAGTATTCAATATATTTTCCACAAGGAATAATATTTTTAATATTTTAATAATAATATTTTATTTCTCCATTTTACAAAAAAGCATAGAGTGCGTCAATTTAACAATAATTACATTGTGATATAATACAAATTGAATTCAAACATTAAATTGGAAAAACATGTCAATGGTATATATCGGATTTTCCGTGACAATAGCTTTCAGTCTCCTCCGGAATCTTGGAACTGGCAGATTCTTTAAACATGATTCTTCTCTCGTTTGTGCCCATAGTTTAAGCTAGATTTACGCTAAGTTTTCTTTATTTATTCTCGTTTTCCTCACCATTACCGCTAATAAGAATTTTTTATTTTTATTTTAGTACCTAAATTAGTTTATGTAAGTAGTCGTTATTAGAGTATATGCGATAAGATAATTTATAATAATTAGTATTGTAGCGTCTATGTTCGAATATATGCCTTAAATATTGTATTTTTTCTTTAATTTATTTAAATAGATTATATTTATTTATTTCTTTCATAATTTGTTTCAATAGTTGATCCCACGGTTAGGCACGGAGGCCCTAGCGTTTGCTTTACATAACTTTTATTTTATTTAATTTTTTTTTCTTTAATAGATGCGTGCGCCAATTCACGCCATCAAATCACTAAACAAGATACACTAAAAGACATTTCCACATTTAAAGATTGTTATTATTTCCTTCAGTAAAATGTTTATTAGTCCTACTTCATTTTGGTGCGTTTTTAAGATTCTTTCTAAGGAGAATTTTAAATAGTAACGATTGTATCTAAGTAACACCAATGAACTTTATGTATTAATTGTTAGCTATCGACCCTTAAACATTAAACCCTTGAGCAAAGTGAAAGCATTTTATTCCTCGGAAAATGAGAGAGATGAAGAAAACTTTTTCAGATCGTCTCTTTTCTTATTATGACTCTATCTCACTTATCTACATTTATTCTCTTTTTGAGAATAAACAGTGCGTAATGCAACCCAACATATACAGTTGCCGATTTTATACATATGGTTAGCAATCTGGAGTAGTATAATCAATGGTATTACCCACATTTTGATCATTTTAGGCAATTTTGGATACACTTTTAAATAATTTTGGACAACTAAACTAAAACTAGAAGAAGCACAATCCTAGGACTAGAAACTTGAATTTGAACAAATTTTTACGATTTTAAACAGTTATAGTACAAGTTGACGAATGAAGACAAGAGCGAAACAACGAATCAGTGAATAGAGTTGGGTTGGGTTACCGAACCCAACCAAACAAGGATTTAGTCTTCGTTCAACAAACCCAGTACTTCTTAGAGGCCAAAACTTGCAACTTCTTGAAATAACGTATCTACTCTACTAAACCTATTTAATATTGTATATCTGGTGATTTCGTCAACTTAGCCAAATCGTTTATCACGAACTACTGCAAATACAATCTATCTATTGCTATTTGTGTTTTACGGTGTTATTCGTTTGGTTACAGAACTAACCAAGGTAGAAAGAAACTTTGCATGAAACGAATATTTGTTTGTATGGTTTACTTTTGTTCATAAACTGTTATGACCATCATGTTGTTGCTTCAAATCATGTTTCTAAAAATCTTATTAGTATAACTGGTTATTTATTAAGATCAATTCACTTAATAAAATTGACAGTTGTAATACTCTTAAGAGTTTTTGTAATATTCATTTTTCTTGTTATCAATTCCATATCGATACAAGTCTTGATATGGTTGAATATAAATCACAGTTTCCGGTGGTATCATCATTCTCATGTCCCCTCCTATCGTGGTATAAAAGAGATTTATGGAAGAACACATAAGATGATCCATAAGGACGGTCTATAAAGAAGAGAGGCTTGAAAAGAAAGGAGTCCGAAAGTACAAATGGAAATAAAACGAATAAACGCTTGGAAAAAGTCCATTAATGTATGCGTTTGGGTTCGGAATAAATTCGGGGATAAATCTGGTAAACGCGGCGTCGGTATCCGAACAATCCGTGTAGTAAAACGGGAACGAGGGGAAAAGGAGTGGAAAAACGCGGGCGGCAAATATTTATTTTGAAGCGGAAACGCGACCGGCGCGCGCCGAAAATTATCTATTTTAAACCGGGCGCGGCGGTCGAAACGGTGGAAAAGAAATTGAAAAACGCGGAATAAATATATGATCGGTCGTAATTCAAGCTGGTCTCGGATTTTTCCAATACGTGCCCTATCTACATGAATACGTGATTTGTGACTGTATTGGGCCGGGCGCGGTGCTTGGGCCATACTGGAAACAACGCGTTGCTCCCCTTTTTTTTCGCAAAAACCGACCCTCATAATTAATTGTCGACAGGAAAACCGCATCGCCGCGGAAGCATACGGTCATTATCGGCAGTTATTCGGGCCTCTATTTACCTAATGATGTAGTAAATTCAAGTGTAATTTCAATGGGGTCCCATTGTAACCACGGGGTTGGATTACAGGCACTCCCATAGATAGATACCGCGACCAGGTAGTTGTAAATTACCTACCAGGTGATTATAGACGGATTTTTTCGGGTCGACGCTGTTGGCGCGAGGGCCGGAATTTATGAAAAGCCACCTCGAAAATACCACAACAAAGGATTTTCCCGAACACGAGCACCATCTATAGCCAGTAATAGTCGCGACGTGGCTTCCGCCGCTCCTGTTTTTACCCCGTCAAAAATAATAAAACAGACCCAACCAGTGCTTTAAAAAATATGTTTTATTGTCCCGGAAACCGTTTATTTCTATGAATCGCAAAAAACCTTACTCGTTTGTTTCCCGATGGAAACGGTATCGCATAACTGTATTCCTACACTACCCACTCCCCTGCATTTTTTTATTAAAAAGAAAAACCGAAATATAGGTTACAGCGTTTTGTATCGCAATCAAAAACAACGTTTTGGAATAATTGTGCAAAAATAACATAAAATGCGGAAGCATCGTAACAGCAAATTCCACTTGCAAAAGTACTTTCTAGGAATTAAGCATGAAGTAATCAAAATCGGTCTTATGGCAGCATTAATAACTACAATACGATTTTCATTCGTTATCTGTTGGTGGGCATCTATGTTTAGTTACAATTCATCGAAGAACATTCAAGTATAACTGGAAGCAGTTAATGACTGCTCAAACATAGATATATAAAAATTTAAGAATTAAATTGTGTTTCAAAAGCGTTTTAGTTGTAAAACATAACATCTTATCAAAAACACCGACAGATAGTCAAGGCTATGAAAAACGTGTTATTTATAAGCGATAAAACGTGCACTTTAACAGCTGCACTCACCCACATACTGTGTTACTCAACACATCGTTGTCATTTTTTGTATAAATGTTTCGACGATAATATGTCCTGATAGTAGTTATAAAAAATTTATTTTAATTAAGGAAAAAGACTTGAGGTGTCCGTAACAAGGTTGTGTCGTTAAGTAAATCACCTCATACTTCCCAATTAAGTTACCGGGGTAGTTACTGGTGGTGGTTAGTAGCCGGAGCCTTGGTGGTAATGAGCCGGGACAGAAGTTTCCAACGAGAGAATTAAAGTAAACAGTCCGACTCGGACAAACAACAAAGCGAAAAGTCGGCGGAATTGCTTGATTAGACAGCGCCACACCCGATCCATTTTATAAATACAATTAAAAGGCAGCTGCCCGGTCTACAAGAAAGACCGTCGTCGTCGTCGGGCGGCAATCGATGGGGGCCCTCATTTACTCCCTTGTTTTTCTTCTTCCGCTTGTCTTTCCCCCCGGCCGTTCTGCCTCCGCCTCGCTATTATCCTTTTATTAAACCCAAGGTCGTCAGCTCGCACTTCCAAGAAGTGTCCAATGGATAAGAACGCTGTGGGTGTCCGTTAAGGAGTCCGTTCAATCGATTGACTCTTGGTGTGAGACGACAATTTCTGTTGATTGTGACCGGGGTCAAAAGCAAATAACATAAAGTTTACAAAAATTTCGACGCAACCATCTATATATTTATATTTCAGTTTATTTGTCAAAAAAATAATTTCCCCTCTTAAATTGTTACAACGCATAAAAACCACCACCCGAATTTCAATTCCTATAAATTTCGGCGATGCCCATCTCATAACACTCCGTAGATTACGCATAAAGGGATATAAATTTTGGGCTAGCTTAAAGAAACCTCGCTCATCGCTCGCGAGGAACGGACGGACGCGAAGAAGGGCTGTCGGTATTTTTCTTTTTTGGTTGAACCGGGTTGGGATAATTCAAATACGCATTTGCATGAAAGGATATCCGCTCGCTTGAGAAAATCAAGGAGGCATGCATTCTTGATAAGCAACGCGCGTGCGCCATCTATTACTTCAAAGGAAAACATCTCAACATGATAATCTACAAAATATTATCTATTACGTTTTATTTATTTTTTATTTTGCCAAAGTAT